CGTGACCCGTCTTGGCGTCCTCCTCGATCGTAAGCCCAGCAGCTTGGAGTACGGTCTCTGCGTCAAGGTGCGTCTTCAGTCTGTCACCAACTCTAGCACACACCGCGCCCAATGCTCCCACCTCAACTCACTGGCCAGAGCAGGCGTCATTACAGTGTTGGCCTGGACGCATGCCCACAATAGCGTCAATGGAGCACATTCGAAGCTTGCGGCTACTCGCCCACTCACTGTGCCGCTATCCACTTGAAAATTGTCAACGCTCGACCCAATCACTGGCACACCGCCCACAGTGACCTGAATCACTTGGCTGGTGTTTTGCGCTATCCATCCAAACGCCTTGCGGTCGAGCGCGCTCCCCTTGTTGCCATTGCCGATCGTCGCCATCTCCTTGGGACCTTGCATCAGCCTGTCGTCCGTGATGAATGCGCCCGTATCGTCGCTGTTCAGTTGCAGCCCGAACTTGCACCTAAACGTCGTCACGCCAAAATCGAGTGCGCAGTTAAGCATCCATGCTTCGCCTTCTTGCTCGGCATCTCCTGCCCGTCTGAAGGCTGACTCACGGCTTCAAGGTACCCTGCGCGCAAGAGGTGGGCACGAAGGCGGTACTGTAATTCCACATGTTTACATTGTCAAAGCCGATGAGCCCGTCGCCAGGAAGTGCAGGCGAGTCGTCGTCCAGCACCCCAATCACAATCTTGCTTGCGGACAGTGCGGACCCAGGCAGCGAAACCGTCTCCTCGTGAAAGCGCATGGTGAACTGGCATGTAAGGTTGACACGGATCAAGGTGACGCCTTTGAGTTTCATCCCGCGAGGACGCGCCGTCTGGGCGCCGCACTTGCTCACTCACATTCTGAGTGCCCGAACCGTCTTTCTCGGTGGATTCGTATAGCAACCAAGAGTGCTGACCTTTGCCAGGCGCAGGACCAGAGGCCGAAGAAGGCTTGTATAGGCCTGGATTCACCAGTATGGGTCCGCCACCAGTGTCCATCAACAGCTGATTCGTCAATCATTTGGGAGAGGGGAGATCAGCTACTGAGCACACGTATATGAGCGCGGTGCAGGTGCGCTTACGTTCAGCTGAGCCTCTCCGACTTTTACCTTGGTGAACCAGAAACCATCTTTGTACACCATCGGAACAGAAGAAGCCGCTGTCCATCCAATGTCTAGGGGCCAATGTGTCAGTCCTCGACTTTTGTCTGCCAAAACTTTTCTTCTACATCACCTCCGTACTCACTCGCGGTGAGCGCGGCAAGGCAGAGGAGGGAGCGAAAGGCTCGCATGACGGGACGGCAACTCGACGGGTGAGAGGGAAAAGGAATGAAAATGGGAGAGGTGGGTTGATGCAGCACATCGCTCGCGCTTCAGACCCAGCGCGAACCCTCTTTATATCTCGTAACAGCCAGCACGCAGTGTACGAGGCGTTTCTGCGCTCCAACGTCATCATTGTCATTTTTGTTCTGGGTACCACTCTTGAACCTCTTGCCGCGGTGGTGGCGTTGCTTCGTGCTCTAATTGCTCGATCTGCACGTTCGTGGTAGCAACAAATTCAAGTCTTGAGTGATTGAGTCCTTGAGCCGAAGCTCATGTACCGAGCCGAAGCTGATGTACCTCTGCCGCTCTCGAGACGCCGGCCGGGCCGTTGGAGTTTAGCGCAGACAACAAACCTCGCGCTCCTTTGGCGTTCGCTGAGTGCTCGTACATACAGCCAGAAAGTATTCTTGTCAGCTCGCAAGTCTTCTCAGCACAGAAGAGAGAGCGCTCTGCGCAGCACCGTTTCGCAATGAAAGAGACGCTCGTTGTAGCTCGGTTGCTGATCTAGTCTGACGCAGAGCTGTTTTGTTGGCTTCACATCCGGTCTTGCCGCGTCGCACCAAAGCGGTGTGGCTATCCACTTTGAGATATTCCTGCGTGTGCTTCGCAGTCGCCCCCTTAGTGGTGTTTCCCGCTGGTGAGCGGACGGGCGTTGAAAA